AGAGAGAAATCAAGAGGCAGTTCTACCCAGAGAACGTGGAGTTTGAAGCCCGTTCGAAGTTGAGAAGACTCACCCAGAGGGGTGGAGTTCGAGAATACGTGAAGGAATTCTCGGAGCTGCTTCTAGAGATCCCGGACATCACGCACAAGGAGGCCATGCACGGCTTTCTTGATGGGCTGCAACCATGGGCCAAGATGGAGATGCAACGTCGAGGAGTGCAAGACCTTGCAACTGCCATGGCCACGGCAGAGCCTTTTGTCGAGTACAAACGACAAGAGAGCAGCGGCAAAGAGAAGAGTTCGAAGCCCAACAAGGGTGGAGAGCAGCAGAAGCCCTTCAAGGAGGGTTCTCGCACTCAACAACACCAAGGTGGTTCGAGCAAAGGGGGTAAGTACGAGCCAAAACCCATGACTTGTTTCCTTTGCGACGGGCCACATCGAGTGCGAGATTGCCCAAGGAAGGCGAGATTGGCAGCCATGGAAGCTCAAGATGAGGAGCCCAAGGCGGCGGAGGCCAAGATTGGCTCAATCCGCAAGCTTGGCGCGGCAAAGACCGACGTCAAGGAGAGCAAGCGTGGGAGGTGCTATGTTCTGGCGCAATTCATGCAAGGCGAGTCAAAAGCCTTGGTGGATACCGGTGCCACGGACAACTTTCTTCGCATCGAGGAGGCAAACCGGCTGGGTATTGCCTACGAGAAGGGGCAAGGGAGGCTCAAGACGATCAACTCGGAGTCCATCTCGATCCATGGAGTTGCTCACAACGTACCAATGAAGCTTGGCGAGTGGGAAGGCCTCATCGACTTTTCCGTCGTCACCATGGACGATCACCCAGTCATCCTCGGCATCAACTTCCTCGACAAGGAGGGAGTGCTCTTGAAGCCCAACTCCAACACAATGTGCTTGGAGAAGGAAGGGGAGTTTCATGCGGTCCATCTCTTGAGAGAAGATGGTCCCCATAGTGCTCTATCCGCTATGCAAGTGGTGAAGGGGTTCAAGAAGAATGAACCAACCTTTCTTGTGTCCTTGAAAATGGAGGAAGAAGGAGGCTCAACGGGAATCCCAACTCCCATCATCGAAGGCGTCCTCGAAGAGTTCGATGACGTGATGCCATCGGAGTTGCCCAAGAAGCTGCCACCAAGAAGAGAGGTGGACCACAAGATCGAGTTGGAGCCAGGAGCGAAGCCCCCTTCGCAAGCACCATACCGCATGTCGCCACCGGAATTAGAAGAATTGCGGAGGCAGCTCAAAGACTTGGTGGAAGCAGGCTACATGCGGCGATCGAAGTCACCTTTTGGAGCACCGGTGCTGTTCCAAAAGAAGAAGGAAGGGTCGTTGCGGATGTGCCGACTATAGAGCCATCAACAAGTTGACGGTGAAGAACAAGTGGCCGATTCCCAACATTGCCGACTTGTTCAACCATCTTGGAGATGCGATGTGGTTCACCAAGCTAGATCTTCGCTCGGGCTACTATCAAGTGCGGATAGCAGAGGGTAACGAGCCAAAGACGGCTTGTGTGACGAGGTACGGCTCTTACGAGTTTCTTGTGATGCCATTCGGTCTCACCAACGCACCGGCCACGTTCTACACTTTGATGAATCAAGTTTTCGAGCCATTCTTGGACCGGTTTGTCGTGGTCTACTTGGATGACATCGTTGTGTATAGCAAAACACTCGATGAGCATGCCGAGCACCTACGCCAAGTCTTCCAAGTCCTTCGCGACAACGAGTTGTACGTCAAGAGTGAAAAGTGCACATTTGCCGCCACAGAGGTTCCATTCTTGGGGCACGTCATTGGTGGAGGCAAGTTGAAGATGGATGGAGCGAAGGTGCAGGCAATCCAAGAATGGGAGCCGCCGACGAAGGTGCCAGAGTTGCGGTCATTCCTCGGCCTTGCCAACTACTATCGGAGGTTTATCAAGGGCTACTCCAACATTGCAGCACCCTTGACGGATCTCTTGAAGAAGAACAAGGCGTGGGATTGGTCGGAAAGGTGCCAAGAAGCATTCGAGGCCTTGAAAATAGCGGTGATGAAGGAGCCCGTGCTTGTGCTCCCCAACCCGACGTTGGCCTACGAAGTGCAGACCGATGCATCCCGACTTTGCGATTGGAGGAGTGTTGATGCAAGATGGGCATCCCATTGCCTTCGAGAATCAGAAGCTCAGCGAGACGGAGAGGCGATACACCGTTCAAGAGAAGGAGATGACGGCCGTGGTGCATTGCTTGCGCACATGGAGGCACTACTTGTTGGGGTCAAAGTTCGTAGTGAAGACGGACAACGTGGCAACGAGCTACTTTCTGACGCAGAAGAAGCTCACCCCTAAGCAAGCGAGATGGCAAGACTCTTTGGCCGAGTTCGACTTCGTTATGGAGTACAATCCAGGAAAGGCGAATTCCGTTGCCGATGCTCTTAGCCGCAAGAGTGCAGCCGCAAGCATCAGCCAGCCCACGTTTCCTTTGAAGGAGCGGATCGTTGAAGGCCTTGGCCATGACCCCTTCGCCAAAACCGTAGTGGAGTACATCGAGCAAGGTAAAACTCGGCAGTTTTGGATGAAGGATGGGCTCATCATGACCAAGGGAGAGCGGGTGTTCGTGCCAAGATGGGCCAACTTGAGGAAGGAGATCATGAAGGAGTGCCATGATTCCAAGTGGGAGGGTCATCCCGGCATCGAGAGAACGCAAGTGCTCATCGGACTTCTCAAAGTCGATGGATGCGGTTGCATCATGGTTGTGGTGGACAGGTTTTCTAAGTATGGAGTGTTCATTCCTGGGCCAAAAGACTTGACGGCAGAGGATGCGGCACGGCTATTCTTCAAGAACGTGGTCAAGTATTGGGGCATTCCTAGCAGCATTGTGAGCGACAGAGATGGGCGCTTCACGGGCAGATTTTGGCGAGAGTTGTTCAAGATCATGGGCTCAAACTTGAACTTCTCGACGGCATTTAATCCTCAAAGCGACGGACAGACGGAGCGGGTGAATGCCTTGTTGGAGGTGTACTTGCGGCACTACGTGAGTGTAAACCAACGAGATTGGGTGAAGTTGATGGACACGACACAGTTTTCCTACAACTTGCACCGCAGCGAGTCGACCAACACGAGTCCATTCGAGTTGGCGACGGGGCAGCAACCTTTGACACCTACGACGGTGGCAACGGGGTATAGAGGCAACAGTCCGGCAGCCTACAAGTTCGCTAAAGGCTGGCACGAGAAGATGGAGATGACCAAGTCTTACTTAGCCCGCGCTAGTAAGAAGATGAAGAAATGGGCGGACAAGAAGCGGCGGCACTTGGAGTTTGAAGAGGGAGACATGGTGATGGTCAAGTTCTATCCTCATCGCTTCAAGCATCTCAAGAACGTGCACAAGGGACTGCTTCGCCGCTATGAAGGGCCATTCCCCATCGTGAAGAGGATTGGCAATGTGGTATACAAGGTAGAGCTGCCGACGCACTTGGAGATCCATCCGGTCTTTCATGTGAGCCAACTCAAGCCTTACCACGAAGACAAGGAGGACGAGCAACGAAGGGAGTCGCAACGCGCACCAACACTCGTCACCAAGACACACGACAATGAAGTTGAAGAAATTATGGCGCGTCGTGTCATTCCTCGTCGTGGCGTACATCCAAGCTTTGTGGAGTACTTAGTCAAGTGGCGCAACCTTTCGGAGAGTGAAGCAACTTGGGAGAAAGAGCTCACACTTTGGAAGAACAAGGACTTGATCGATGCATTCCATCAAGAGGACGCGACGAGGGCGTCGCGGGCATAGGTGGGGGAGGATATCACATGTGGCAGATGACATGACGCCAACAAGGTGACAACAAGGCGGCTGCACATGTGGCATGTATGGAAGACTAGTAGCATAGAGATGCTCCTAGGATTCTCCACCTAAATGAGAGCTTAATGGTGCACTTATGGGCTACATTATGGGTAGCATTATTAGAGTGCATTATGGGGGGGACTTTATGGGGTGTATTGATGTAGAGGGACCATTATGAGGGGCATTGATGCCTTGTATGAGGAGAGGCCTATATAAGGAGCCATCTCCCTCACTTGTAACTCATTCCATCATTTTTTAGAGTAATACACACTAGAGAGTTCTCCCAATCCTTTGTCTTTGTTCTTGTCTTTGCTTGCTTGTGAGTTTGAGAGAAAGGCTGTCTAGCGCTCTAACGGAATTGAGAGCTAGGGCCGCACGATCGAGAGTAAGGTCGTGACAGTACCCATTGTTGAACATGTTGATCACATGTCCCATCCCGTAAAAAATATTACGGGTATTTGGGTACCGTAACCCTTAAAAAACGAGATGGGTATGGGTATACCCAAATACCCGTTTCCCATTGCCCACCCCTACTGGTGTATGGGAGTTAAATAAGGGCCCACCCAAAATGATTGTATATGAGCAAATTGTAGATTTTGTCACTCAATATAACAAAAAAAAGTTCATGTTTCATCCTAAAACTATTTAAATTAATTCATGGTTACTAATATTAGTTAAACATTTCATATTCGATCACTCTCTGTTCAACTTCATTAACTTTTGCTGATGTATCAGTCAACTCTTTAAGTTGACCATCAAATGCGTGACATGACAGTTAAAAAATAATAAAAAATTAAAATAAAAAATTTTAAACATTCCACTTCATTATCAAATAAAAATTAATAACATAATTCTTCTACTACCTCCGCCGAACACGCTTTCTCATCCCCGACTCCACTCGCTGCCGTCGCGGCTGAAGACCCTCTTCTCTAACAGTCACCGCCGGACATCCTCCTCCTCCTATTCCTTCGACCCTTCCTCGGCAGGAAGAACCTGTAACACCCTAAACTTTGGGTTTCGTTTCAACCATAATACGTGAATGGTGGGTTTAACGAGTATGCACGAAAAGTTGCAACCGGGGATTAGGAATAATAATAATAATAATAATAATAATAATAATAAATATTATTACTATTATTATTAGTATTATATAAAAAAAACTATAAACGAATCCTGGAGCTACAACCCCTCAACCCTCAATTATTTCCCCAGCGCCACCACCACCACCTTGCCGGGGTTAAATCGAAAAGGGTATCTTCCTCACAAACTGGCATTGATTCCCTCCCTCTCCATCCTACGGTAGAAATCGACGGCTTCCGCCAATATTTCGAATCTTATGGCCAAGTTACTGATGTAGTAATCATGTATGACCAAAACACGCAGCGGCCCCGTGGGTTTGGATTTATTTCCTTTGAATCTGAGGATTCGGTCGATCGAGTGTTGCACAAAACATTTCATGATTTGAACGGGAAGCAAGTAGAAGTGAAGCAGGCTCTTTCTAAAGATGCCAATCCTGGTGGAGGCAGTCGCTCCTCTATGGGCGGTAATGATGGTGGTTATCAAAGCTATGGCGCTTCTGGTGGGAGTGCAGTAGGCTCATATGATGGTAGAATGGATTCAATGAGGTATATGCAGTCACAGGCCGCTGGAGGCAGCTTTCCTCCTTATGGATCATCTGGCTACCGTGGACATGGATATGGTTACAGTACTGCTGCAAGCAAAGGAGTTGGATATGGAGGCAGCCAGGGGATTGTTTGAGAAAATGCCATCTAGAGGTGTTGTGGTGTTGTGTCGTGGAACTGCATGATAGATGGATATGCAAGGGTGAAGAACATCTCGTCTGCTCGTGCCTGTTTTGATGAGATGCCGTGCAGAAATGTGGTTTCATGGAGACCAGGGCACAACAGCCTTATCGTGAGGTTTTGACTTCGGTATTAAGGTGAGTGTAAAGGGGTAAATTCTATGCCTTACGGTTTTTCAAGTATTTGCTTTGAATATTTTTAAGTATGGATTTACGTGATGTGCATGCAGTATTTGATTCATGTTTGATATCACATGATTATGTTTGATTATTTGTGCTTTGCTTGAGCTATGATTTGAGGTGATTTTGTGCTATTTACCTTAAAGCGTTATGTTATGAGTTATTGTTAAAGTTTAAAAAACAAGTTCTTTTTAAGAAGTAACTCACCTTCAAGAAGGTGAAGTCGTTTTAAGTGTTTTTAGTCACTAGCGCCAGTCCGTTGCCATTTGAGATTTTCAGATAGAGCAGCAGTTATGCTCTTGAGATCTTTGAGACAGAGCATCAGTTATGCTCTTGAGACTTTTAAGATGAGCAGCAGTTATGCTCTTGAGAATCTTGGTGAAGAGCCACCACGATAAGTTTAAGATGTTAGGGAGATGAATCGTTACGACTCCCCTAACTAAGTTTAAGTTTAAGGAAAGCCTTGATGGCTTCTCATACTTATGATTTGGCAACCGGACTAGCTAGTGAGGGATCCCAGTGTCAGTCAAGTATTTAAGTCGAGATTTGAGGTTTAAGAATGGAGGGTAACAGTAACTCCCACACAGTTTTAAGAGTTAGGAATTTTAAGAGTGGCAACCGGACTAGCTAGTGAGGGATCCCAGTGTCAGTCAAGTATTTAAGTCGAGATTTGAGGTTTAAGAATGGAGGGTAACAGTAACTCCCACACAGTTTTAAGAGTTAGGAATTTTAAGAGTGGAAGTACAAACAACTTCCACAAATTTAAGTAAGCTGTTTAAGTAAAGTACTAAGCAGTAAGAATTTTAAACGTGAGGGCGTAGACTGACCCCATCTCACTCACCAGTTTGAAGAGCTAGAGGAAAAGCTAGAGTAGCATTTAATGAGCAGCGAATTCGAGGGCAGACAGCTAGAGGAGGGCAGTATAAGCGTCAAGGAGGATGCTTAGTCAAGGTTTCAGTAGCAACAACATCAGGGATTATTAGTTATTTACATTTATGATTATGAGTATAGACTGGAGATCAGATTGAGATTTTAAAGTTTGAGTTTAATTTGCCCACGTGTTAGGGCTTTGCTCCGAGCTACAAGTGGGTGTTTTCAGTATTTTATTTATGAAAATTTTTCCCGCTACAATTTAAGATTTGAGTATTTTATTTATCAGGGGGATTTTAGTAAAAGTAGTACCCGGCCGGGTTAGGGTGTTACAAAACCCTTCCCCCAAGATGACTCAAAAAAAAATCCATCAAGGTTTCCTACCAGAACCCTCCTGAAAGCATATTCTGCTCTTTCTCCAGCCCTCTTCTACTTTCCCTGGAAACAAAACAGAGTCCCATTAGAAATAACAAAGCAAAACTCATTGATAGTTTAGGCACGCCATTGAAACCAAACTTATGTGTTTTCTATTGCTTAAATGTTTTAGCAATTCTGACCCATATTCTGGAAACAGTTCAGACTTCAGCTCTTTAATATACACAAAATGCGCAAATCACGGGAATCACTGACGCATATCATCAAACACTTTCCGCGCTTTACCAATAACTCGTTACGAAATCTTCTCGCTCCAGATTCTTCAAATCCACCGCAGGCAACGAGAACCTGGGGATTTCTGGTCTCTTCCAGTTCAGAGGTGATCTAGGAAACCACGACTGACAACACTACGTCGGCGGGCTTCCAGAGCCATTGGGAAGCCGCCGCAGGCAAGCTTTCAAGACAAGGGTCCAGATCTATGGTTGCTATTTGCACTACGAAACCGATGTGAAAATTATGATAATGAAAGAAGACGAACACACTATTTTACGTGGTATCCCTGAACGAATGACGTTCGGGACTAATCCACGGGAGAGTTGAAGCTCTCCAATTTATGTTATTGCTGATATTCTGGATAGTTGTACACGGCCAGAAGCCTTACATATATATATATATATATATATATATATATATATATATATATATATATATATATATGTTTGCAATAGCTAGTACAGGGAACCCTACCCAGTCTCCTAGTTCCCGTCGGAGTAGTGAAACCTACGACCATGTTGGCGAAAGGCCGAGCTTTACACGGTTAGGATATGGGCTCGACAGGTGGATCACTATCCTTGCCCAATACGCCCCCGCAAGCTGGACGGTGAAGATCACGAAAGTTCAGCTTGGAGAGTAAAAAGAAAAATCGGTCAGCACCCAGGCCTTTTGTGAAGAGATCGGCAACCTGAAGGTTCGAACTGATTTTGACAGGCAAGATAGCACCAGACACAACGCGTTCACGTACAAAATGACAGTCCATTTCCACATGCGTAGTGCGCTTGTGGAACACTGGGTTAGCTGCGATGTGAATGACAACTTGATTATCACAATGAAGAGGAGTAGCAGTGATAACGATGTAATTGCACATATTTGCGCCCCTAATTCTTATCCGTTTGAGGGGCATAGTCGTGTATTTTTGGCCTATTTTTCGCCGGGTTGTGCTATTTTGTCATGTTTCAGGTTCAGGTGTCAAAGGAAAGGCTAAGCACGAGTTACGGGGCATTCGGAAGTCATTTCGTCGAGTTGGAGCCAAAACACGGGCACACCTAAAACAGAACACAACCGTTTTCTGTGGCCGTGCTTTTACTGCCGAGAGCTAATTCGAGTTTGGCAAACATGAGCTGATTACAGGGGCAGGGCTGAGAATTTGCACGGCCGTGTCAACCAAAGCACGGCCGTGTCCTCTCAAAAGCACGGCCGTGTTTCTCCCAACACAATGGCCATGTAATTAACCCTAGCCAAAGCACGGGCGGGCTGAGGCAAAGCACAGCCGTGCCCTCGATCGAGCTTTGGCCACTGATGCCCTTTTAAGCAGATTTCAGCCAAAATAGAAGGGGATTCGAGTTTTGAGAGAGATAGAGCGATTCCTAGAGAGAGAAAGTGACGAACAAGAGTCTCCAAGTGCCCTAGCTTGATCTTCATCACCATTGGAGGCCAGTTTGAGTTTGGAGAAGTGCCGATCAACGTCCAGGAGCAGGAATCCATCCTACACAGTATGAATTCCGCGTCTGATTCTGCTTTTGCTTCTTTCTCCATGGAGTAGTTCTCCCATTCATCTGGGTATGGAGAACCCTAGATTTGTATGTTAGGCTTTGATTGTATGAACCCAAGTACTGATTCTATGATTTGATTATATTCGATTGAGGCTTGAATGATTGAATGACTTGAATCCTGATCAAATTCCTGTTGTTTCTGCTTTAACCTAGAATGAGAATATCTGCCTAGGTTGATAGAGCATCCTTGATTGAAGGTAGGGAGTTGGTGACTTTAGTCGAGGAGCCAACTCACTATTCTGTACCGAATTCACTTCGGTAGTGGAGGTTTTGTTCGTGAGGCCTCAATCTGTTTACTCCGGTGGAGGTTAGTCGCCCGCTAGAGACTCAGATTGAGAGGGTCTGAAGACCTTTAGTCGAGACTTCAGGCTGTTTAAGAACCTTCCGCAGTATAACTATCATAGAAACTGAACTTGGTAATTGCAATCCGGCTTAACTGCAGTCTAGGGGGAACCATATCCGGGTGACCTCTCTTAACTTGAATACAACCGTTTACTTGCTTTGTTAGTTTGTTAGTTTAGACTTGCATTAAAGTTTCATTGCTAGATAACAAGAATTCATTGAGTAGTCATCAAATCTAGGACCCGGGTTGACATTTAAACCCAAGCCCGCTATACTACGCTTTAGGAAGTGGTTTCACTTGGCCAATTCCTGGAGTGACAATAGAAGTGAGTCAAGTTTTTGGCGCCGTTGCCGGGGACGGCTAGGTTGTTGAAGAAAAGTGATTTCTGTTAATTTAGCTTTTCTTTTTGCTTTGTTTGCTTTGTCCCACTTGTGCCTTCACGGGTTTGCTTGCTTGAGTGTGTGCAGGTAGTGCATGACCCATAGCCAGTCAAGAGGTTTACTGCCGTTGAATCCAGAGATTGTTCGCACCTGTCGCCAGCTCAGGAGCTAATAGCGAGCTAGACTGGCTACGGAAGAGTGCATAGACGGCCACCTAAGTAGCGATTCTGAAGAAGAGTACGGGATGGACGGAGACTACAATCAGCACCAGGGGAATCCTCAGCAGGTTCCCCCGGTGAATCAGGTCCTGGGGAACAACCCCATACCCCAGGATCATGGGGTTCATCATCCACCGCCGCCGGGTCCCACCTTGGAGTACTACTACACTCCACGGATTGCTGACATCCACCCGGTCATCCTCTACCCGCCTATTCCAGCAAATAACTTTGAGATCAAGCCATGCTGGATTCAGCTCATTACATCCTCTATCCAGTTCCATGGCTTGAAGGATGAGGAGGCCAGGGTGCATCTTTCCCGTTTTCTGCAGCTGACGAACGGGTTCAAGCTGAATGGTGTCCCTGATGATGCAATCCGCCTTCATCTCTTCCCCCATTCTCTGGCGGGGAATGCTAAGAGGTGGTTGGAGACCCAGCCCCCATTGTCCATCACCTCTTGGGACGATTTGGCTGACAAATTCGTGCACAGGTACTATCCGGCATCGAAGACTACAGAGATCCAGCGGGAGATCACTCACTTCCGCCAAGAGCCAGATGAGTCACTTCGTGATGCATGGTAGCGGTACATGGGCTATTTCTGGCAGTGTCCCCATCATGGCTTCAGTTATGCATTCACAGTGGGGAACTTCTACAGTGCTCTCTCTCCAGACAGCCAGAGGGTGATTGAGTCTCTATGCCCAGGAGGGGATATTCTTACTAAGACTCCACCCGAGCTGAACCGGATGATCAGCACTTTGGCTGCCAGAGATCATTCTTGGGGACAGGGTAGCCGAGGCAGACAGTCCCAAGACCGTGGTGTGCACGCCATGGAGACCAGATCCGGGCTCGAGCAGCAGGTAGCTGAGCTAGTGCAGACATTGAAGCAACCCAACAGTCTTATTCCGGGCAGAGGTTTGGCTACAC